TGCCATGTTGACCAGGCTGGTCTCGAACTCCTGGCCTCAAGTGATCTGCCTGCCTCAGCCTCCCAAAGGGCTGGGATTACAGGCGTGAGCCACTGTGCCTGGCCAACTTCCTCCTTATGAGGACACCAGTCATCAGATTAGAACCCACCCTAATTCAGTATGACCTTACCTTAATTTGAGTACATCTTCAAAGACCCTATTTCCAAATAAAGCCACAGTCACAGGTTCCAGATGGACATGAAGGGGGCAGGGTACTCAGCCCAGGGCAGTGAGTAGAGGGGAAGCTGGTGAGCACCACGGGCCCGGCCAATGTTCAGCGACATGAGCTTGGTGGATTCAGTCATGCCAGCTCCAGCGGTCACAGATGACAAGTTCATCCCTGGTCGTGGTCGGCTGGGTGGACACAGTGGGGGGTCACTGTGCAGCTCAGACGGTTGCACCCGGAGTTCAGGCTGGGAGCAGTGTCAGGGTGCTGGATGTTTAAGGGCTTGCAGGAGTGTCCCGAGTGTCCCAAGAAGGTCAACAGAGGGTCTCTTTTAGGACCAAGGGACAGACGGGGCTCTGAAGCAGGACACCATCTCAGAGTGGCCACAGTGAAATGTGCAAGTACAGAAACTGAGGAAGGGTAAGGCCAGGGGTGGGGTGTGCAGTTGTCCTCAGGGTAACATTGATATCATTGACAGGGACTCCAACAGACATGGTTAAAAACAGCTTCCCGGCTGGGCATGTGTTCACGCCTGTAATCCCAGCACTTTGGGAGGCTGAGGCGGGCACATTACCTGAGGTCAGGAGTTCGAGACCAGCCTGACCAACATGGCAAAACCCCGTCTCTACTAAAAAAAAAAAAAAAAAAATTAGCCAGGCTTGGTGGCCTGTGCATGTAGTCCCAGCTACTCAGAGGCTAAGGCGAGAGAATCGCTTGAACTTGGGAGGTGGATGTTGCAGTGAGCTGAGATTGCGCCACTACACTCCAGCCTGGGTGACAAAGAGAGACGTCATTACAAATAAAAAGAAAGAAAGAAAGAGGAAAAAAAGAGGAGGAGGAGAAGTAGAAGGAGAAAAAATAAATAGGTTCCTGATGACAAAAGATGGAGGAACTCCTGTTTGGAGCCTGCTGCACAAAACAGGAGGCCGCGCAGTGTGTGCTCTAACGCAAAGGCACCATATCCTGGGCTCCCTCCAGGCCGCCAGTGCAAAGTGTGGTCCCAGCCCTGAGCATCAGCTTGACCTGGGAGCCTGTGAGAAATGCAGACTCCCAAGCCCTGCCCAGGCCCACTGAATCAGAATCTGCATGTTCACAAGACCCCCAGGAGACTCCTGAGCTCACTAAAGTTTGAGTCGCACTGTCCTAGAAAGTCCTCCAAGGCCCACACAGCTGCCGGCAGCCCCATTTGTGCAGAGCGGGAAATCCACTAAACCTGAGACCCGCTCCTCCCCTCCTCTGCAAACTCACGCACCTTTCTACCCCCTGGACCTGCTGGCGTGCCTGCCTCTTCACCAGGTGCAGCTAGCTGGGCCACTGCAGTTGCTGGATGTTCCTATGTCTTACCAGGCGCTGGGAGACCAGAAGGCCAGTTTCCCAGAGACACCACCCCTAATAGGACTAAGCTGCTGAGATTTTGAAGTCACTCAGAACAGTGCTTGGGGAAGGCTGGAGGAGGAGTGTAAGAGTCAACAGATGACAGCAAAGAGCAAGAGAGGGAGAGATGACCGGCTACGTGACAGGCAGGCTGGCGGTCGGACAGAGATGGGCCGCCTGTCTGGGTGCCGATTTGAGTTGGCCACCATACGTCCCAGCTACCAAAGCAAGATTGTAGATCTAGGCATTTGTGTTTCAGGTTTGTTCATTCCAAAAACATGTATATGTGTGCCAGGTTAGGACAGTGGTGAGGAAATATGGCTAAACGGCCGGGTTAGGGCAGATTCCATCCAGTACGAGTCTTTCTTATAAAAGTTTGTTTTCTTAATTATATGCCTCTCCAGTTACTAGCTTCCTGATTGTGTGGCTAGCTGAATACTGGACAGCTGGACAGGAAGGGGAAGGACAAGGACATGGGCCCCAGCCTCTGATATGCGTCTGGTCTGGTTGGGGAAAGAGAGCTCACCCTTCAGAAACCACTAAGACATAAAATCCAATGTCCTATGATCCCAGCCAGGTTCATGGGTACTGTTACCTTCTTCCCCTCCTCCTCCTCCTCCTCCTCCTCCT